ATGTTTTGCAGACAGCCAGTTAAAATAATGAGGGCAGAGAACAATATCAACTGCTTAAAGATTTTTTTTCTTTACAGAATGCATTTTTAACTGTCCAGCATTGTACTAAATGCAAAAACAAAGGACAAGGTAATACAAAAATGATTAAAATCATGCATTAATTATTAACTTCACTTATACATGACACCCCCTTTAGTTTTTACAGCACTAGGGGCTTGTTATTTTTGACAGTAGGCTGACATGTGGCAAAGGACCACAAGTCCGATTTAAACCCGGGTCGGCCACATCGAGGACTAAGTCCTCCGTACATGGGTTTTGTGTGCTAAACACTACGCCACCAAAGAACGCCCTAAAGTCAACTTATTAAAACAGTCCATCATTTGAAACATGATTGTTCCTGAATAAAAAAGGGGAATTACTGTACACAAAATGATTAAGTCATTACATTTTGGCTTAATTAGATAAATCAACATTTCTTAACAGATATTTCAAATATAATTCCCAAACCATGTCAGCTTGACTTATTGACCTAGCGTTAATTAGTTTGAACAATCCTGTGGTTAGTGATTCCTTAGCAGGTTTGATGAAGATGATTCTGAGGTTTTCATTGGTAAAACAAAAATCTGATGGAACAATACATCACAGTCATTTCAAAATCCATGAAGACTGTGAAATGTGTGCAGATCCCAGTTTTACCCAACTTAGAGTGCATACAGGATAATGTAGACATGATTTGACACCTGTGACATCAGGCTAACTTTCTCTAACCTCCTCTAAATTTCCTGATGACCAAACCACCCAAGGTGGAGCCGTTCCCACAAAATAGATCCACTCCACCAGTTGCTACCATCCAAACTCCCAGACCTCTTTATATTCTCTCAGGCTATCATATTTAACATGCTGCCGATTCTGCTCTTAAATGGACCAAAAGTCATATTCAAGATGCTGCCAAGTACATTTATTTCTGGGCTGATTTTTACTGTTCCTGAGATTTTAATTCATTACGAAGAGCTCCTTTAAATATATTTTACCAGATCTTTGTCTGTTGTATTGTTTATTGTACAAATCCTCAGGCAAAGCATTAGAGAAACAATGTAGTGTCTCAATAGTATTAGTACAAAATTTATTTGAATAAACAGTCAGCTCAGATGTAAGCCATAAATCTAACAAAGAGTCTTTTATAAGCAAGAAACCAATGTCCTTGCTTTTAGGTGGATATTTCACAGAACCACAGTGTGCTTCTCAGATTCGCCTATAAGAACATTCTGAACTTTTATGAGATAGCTTTCTTACTCTGCTAATAATACAGAATATTTTATTCATTGTCCCAGGTCTGTATGAAAGACAGACCCTGAAATGTGCATGTCCACAAAAAGAGTTTGCAGCCATTTTAATCACAATAATTCTCCACTTTCTCCACATTGTGCATTTTACTATTTCTATGTTTGGAAGAAGGGAAATCTGTATTTGAGATGTAAGATCTTCAAAGTTCTAAGATTTTGACAATGGACAAAGTCCTCATTGTCCACATTGTGTTTTGCAAATTAACTTTTGAACAGTTTGTGAGTTTAAAATGACTGTGGTTAATGTAAGTCAAATGTAATTTACAATTGCCGTAAACTAAAGTTTCTTTCAAATCCGATAACAACCAAGTTCTGAGTGTTTTTTTGTCCAACTCAGCATTATTCTTTTTAAAATGTTCTCTCCTGCAGGCAGAAACGACTCTTGCCTGTAAATCTTTTCAGGCATTTGTTTACCCTGCATCACTGGATTTACATACATTTGTTATTGAGGGATGTCTGCATTCTAAGCATTAACAATAGGTTTCCCTTTTCAAACCAAAAAAGAGCCCCTTAGCTACTTCCTATGCAGCCTTAAATTGTTGAAATGCGTAGAAAATGTGGTGTAGAAATATTAAGCTGTTTTTTGGAGCTCTGAGAAAATATACAGTTATTATCAGGATGAAAAGATGAGAAGCAGGAGTTTTGGAACTTTAGATCGGTACTAAGCCGACAAGAGAGAGAGGAAGCAAACTTAGCCCTGAAATGTCAGAAAGCATGGGTTTATCTTCACGTGGTTCTGACAGGCCTTCAGCACCTCAGAGTGAAAACAGGCAGTGTGGGGGAGATGGAGCTTAACCCCTTTCCCATGTCTATCCTACTGACAGAAACACACTTTCTCATGTGCCCCACCTGTCCCGATGATGTCCTCTCTGCAGGACTTGTTTGCCCTCTTGTAAAACGACCAAATGACTTTTTACAGGGTCTTTCACTACACTAATGAGTCCTTAACTTCATTTACACATGACACCCCCTGACACCCATCTGACCAAACAGTGTGGGAGACTTTCTAAGGGCAGCTGTTGCTTCTAACATTAATTATCTTTGCATTATAAATTTAGAATACTAAGCTGCAACTATGTCAGAGCTGTTTTTGTCACACATAAAGTAGATATATACCCTCTGCATATACATATATAATATCTCAATGTTTTACCAGTTTGTCATTTCTAATGTAATATTCAATGTACTTTATTTGGATTTTATAAAATATCACTGCAAAGAACAAAAAAATTAAGTATTTAAAATTTCTCATCCATAGCATTTAGCCCCCAAATCCATAGCATTTATCTCTCAAAACCATGCAGTTTTCTACACGGTTTTGAGAGAAAATGTGAAAATATTGGACTGGATAGAAACTAGGAGAATAAAGCAAAATGACATGAAATAAACTCTTAAAAGAAGACACACACCTTGGAGTGAGAGGATAGTTGGATTTATTGATACATGGCACACACACACACACACACACACATATATATATATATATGTGTGTGTGTGTGTGTGTGTGTGTGTGTGTGTGTGTGTGTGTAAAGCTTATTTGAGATGAAATAGCTGCATATATCAATAATGAGCTGCGTGTGCCATTATGCTCACAGAGAGATTTGACAAAATCATTGTTTCAACAATTGTCTCCATTGTTTTCATTAAAATGCTTTGAAAACTGGGAACATTTTCGCACTTGGTTTACTCCTGTTGCGTTATCAGTTGGGGAGTAAGGAGCAGAAATCAGGAGGCTGACTCCTCTAACCTCCGAAACTGTAATGGATGAAAAGCATTTCAGATACATTTTCTTGATGGATTAAAGTTCACACTGCGTTCACTGCCAAAGCCGTCTGGGCTGCCTCCTGCAACAGTTTCACATTTGTCTCTTATCTGTTGATTTACTAAACACCTGAAAATGAAAACCATTTGTTCAATGCATTGCAATGTCTCCTTCTGTGAGAGAGACACTGTTTCACTGTAATTTTAAAGAAATTATACTTTGCTCTGATTCTTTTCTTTTATTGGTCAGGTTAAATATCAAATAACCTTCAATAATGAAGAAAAGATTTCACATATATGCATTTGGCTTCACCCTTGCTCTGCCTTCTTGTGTTTAACACAGTCTGTTTGTAAGTGCATCTACATTTCTTTATGTAAAACTAAGATCACCGCTTTTATATAGGCCTACAGGGAAAACTGGGTAATCAAGATGGGTATCGCTTTGTCCTGACTGTCACTTATCACCACTTATTGAAGCTCAACTCAGTATCATGGAACTTATACGACCATAAAACATAATGATTTGACATATGGATGTGGCTCTTGAGAAAACATTGAGAAACATCTCAGGAGCATAAAGTGATAAGAAAAAAATAATGCAAGGCAGTGATAAAAGCTTAGTTGACCAGGAAACTATTCAATTTCATAAAGAGGAGATTTATGTCGTGGTCTTTCCCGTGGGTAACAGAATTTTATTTTTTTCTCACAGTTTAGAGACGTGATACTCTATCAAGGTAATTAAAACCTTTCTGTAATTTGTTGATGCTGCACTACAGTGGGAAATTATAGCTTGTTACACAGGCTAAATACAAAAACCGAAATATTAAAACCTCTGGTAGCAGTGTTATCAGAATATTTCATACTTGATAGAAATGCAAAATTGTAGGATTTTCATTTTCTTTCCCTAGATGTCTTATTTTGGCTACAATCTGTTAAAAAGATTTGAACTCTGGGATGTTAAAATATTAATACTGCATCTGCAGGTAAATGTTGTCTCTTTTATTATCATTATTTGACTTGGAGACAGAGAAAAAGAATGATTTGCTAATTGAGCTGATTATCATTATCAAAGATGTAAGCAGACTTTTTTTTATAAAAACAGGTACTAATCTGTACATACCATCTGTGCACATCAAACATTTTGACAGATTAAGACATAAAAAGATATGTAAAAAAAAAAAAAAAAAAAAAAAAAAGCTAACAATACTTGCATGTTGTTTTGGTCTGGCTGTTGATTTCCTGCCTGAGCTATTAGCATTAGCCATGGAATGAAATATGTTGTAGATTAGGAAGCCAACTTTCCAACTGTTTCAAGATCCCAGGGTACAACAAGTAAAAAAAAAAAAAAAGATTACTTTTGTGGTTGAGAAGAAGTTTGCTTATTTTGAATGTTTACTTTTATTGGGCTCAACTATGTTTCCTGCTTCGAAAGTACTCTCTTAATTGTCCTTTATGTCCAATAGGTGGCCATTCATTTATGCAACATATACCTTATAGAATAGCTTTTTTTGTCCAGGATGCATTTTCTATTTTCTCAAAATTAGACAGTGACAGACCTTTACACAATTTTTTTGACAGTTGCTGTGCAATCATCCCTATGTTATATGGGAAGGCAGAAATGTTTTACTTTTTTGTTGAATTTTCTTTTCCTGCCCTCTAATATATAACTTCAACAGACATATTGTTATTCTTGTTTTGAGCAAACTTAAAAAAAAAAATAAATAAACTCACTGTTTAAGAAAACTCATTAACCATAGGTCAGCTCTGTTTTTCTGCCCCAGGCGATACTCAGACACACGCATATATCTTTTGACTGTCTTTGTTTGTTTAGCAGCAATTAGTACTCTCACTTCTCTCGACTAACACTAATCCCATTGATTGCATCTGTGTTCGCAGGTGTTATCAGCACACACTCTGCCTTGAACCGTGAGGATAAACCTGAGCACAGCATCGAGGTCAGACTTCCATAAACATTTTCAATATCTTCAAAGCTATGCTTCAAAAGTGGGAGGGGGGCATCTGCTCATCTTCAACACATTAAGGTTCTGGAGTATCAATAAATCCATAAAATGTCATGTTCTGAAGGCTGTTAAAGGCAAGATGCCTGCATGTCTAACATCATGTTTTAAATCCCACTTCTACAGATGCACACAGAAAACACGGCATCTTTTTTTCATTTGCTTTAGGGAGGTTTAATAGCAGCATCAGATAACTGTATGAATTCATCAAGCTTTTAAAACTACTACTTAATATTCAGCAACACACTCAGAAATCCATCAGAGGGAACAATCTCTACTCACTAGAGCTGTAGATGTTCTTTATTAGAAATACCATTTCTTTTGGAATAGATCAGTGGCTTCTGAGTCAAAATAATAGGTAAGTCGCTGACTGAGCCTCCCATTTAGTTACTTGACTCTAAAAGACGAATTCCTCCTTTACTGCCAATGGGTTGAGTTCAAATCACAGTGTATGAGTGACCCATTGTTTATTCACTGAGCTTTGGTGGTGAGCAAAGTATGTGATGCTGAAATCTGTTACTGCAATTACATGAACAGTGTTTTATAAGTAATTATGGGTTAGCTATTTAATTACTAAATGTAGTGGTACCTAGATGTAAAATCAGCCACATTTATAAGAAAGCCTTACTTCATACTAAGGAACATGAAACAGTTTTAGATCATCTTTCTAGTTAGTTTTAAAATCTGAATAAATGAAACTATTTAACTCTGATCTTCTTTACTCTCAGGTAATCGTGTCAGACAACGGATCTCCATCTTTGCAGTCCACCGCCACTGTCATCATCCAGGTCCTGGATGCTAATGACAGCCCACCCAAGTTCACAGACAAACGTTTCCATGTCAAGCTACTTGAACAGCATAAAAGTGACGGCAAACAGGCGGTCTATAGACTGGTTGCACGAGATGATGACGAGGGCTCTAACGCCGCCATCACCTACAAGCTGCAGGATGGTGCCGATGAGCATTTTCAGATTGACCCTCTATCAGGAGAGGTGACGTCACATGGAGATTTCTGGCCGGGGAATTACAGCATTCTCACAGTAGGTGTCCGATCTAAGTTTTAGAGTACAGTGCCTTTAAGAAATGAACCTTTTCATATTTTGTCCTGTTATAACAACAACAGGAAACTCCAGCAAATCAATCAGTTAGGACTGTTGCAATATTGTTTAAATTACCTTTAAAAACTTCTAGTTTTGTATGTCAAATTGAGACAATTTTATGTAAAGATTCCAGATTCTTTTGAAAATCTGACTGACACAGAAAGCCATTATTACAATGATCGTTTGCAACTGAAAATGACATAATTGTAAGTTGTTGTTGTTTTTCAGAGGCAAAACATTAGCTAGGTAACTTAAACTTTTTTGGGGTTTAGAAAAGTTTTCCAGGCAAATGCAGTTCCTTGTTCACTTATCAGCATACCCTCATGTGATCTTTCAGTCATGTCAGCGTACTGACTTGTTGATGGACCATTTAGCCGGACCCCATATATATTTTTAGGAAATTGTGCCAGAGTAAAGTTGGGCACAAACTGTGTGTTTTGGCCTTAAGGTAGTTCCATCTGCTACCGTATAAACCAGGCATAGGAAAACATTTATCATACAAATTGTGATTTTGGCATTAAACTTCATCTTCATAAAGACATAATTTTTCCTTATGACTGCTCAGATCATTCTTATTTCTTATGAAAAATTAAGGTCAAAACTTGTACACCATCTTGTACATTTTCTTGCTTTTCTAGGACACACATCACAACACAAATTCTAAAATGATTTGCTTTAAAAAAAACTTTTTGTGTATTGTTCTAGATCCACGCCACGGATCAGGGCAGCCCCTCAAAAACATCCTCCACTCGACTTCATGTTGAGTGGGTCAGTCGTCCTCCACCATCCACCCAACTGATCACTTTCGATGAACCTCACCTCACCTTTGCAGTCATGGAGACGGAGCCTGTCACTCACATGGTGGGCATCATCATGACGGAGGTGCATTGGCCGTTGCTGTGGTTCAGCATCATAGGTAAGTTGACAGGCTTCCATTTTTAGTAAAACATTGATCAAAGCAGCAGAAAGGAGAATAAACAGTCAGGTCTGATGAAGAGTAAGCATTTCAGAAATGAGGGTAATGATCTCTTAAAGAAGACAAACAAGGTCTAGGAATACTATTTATATTTATTTCTGCAGGCTGCTAAGTTTGACAAGAAAGAATAGAAAACAAACCACAGAGAACTCATGAAATGAGCGTGCACTGATCATGGAGTAATGGGTCCTCATAGATCACAGTGAGTGTCTCCAACTCTGGCTCTGCGTGATGTTAAACTCCCACAGCTGGAGGGAAATTATATTCGACAGTCAGTGTATTGCAACTTCCGACAAAAGCTGGCTGGTGGAGTTTGTGCTGCAGAAAAGAAATAGCTCACAATCATCATCTGTCTTTATGAACTACCATATAAATCAACAAAGTGTATTTTCTAAAGGTCAGCAAAGTGCTGTAATGCTAAGTGATGTTAGAACCGGGGTGTTTCCAAGTTTCCAAGACTTATTATGGTAGAGAGCTGCTATCTATTCTCTTTGTTTACTTAACGGTTTAAAACTTTTGCAGAGTTTTTTTTTTTCTTCTTATTGCGGATAATGTAATTTTCAGCTTTAAATTAAGACTACCTTTCTTGGTTGAAAAGTTTGAAACAAAATCTATAGACTAAACCAATGCAGTTTAGCTGTGCTGTGAGTCCATGCTCAGGTAGGGGAAAGCTTTGAAGCTCTGATGATTCTAAATAAATTATGGGAATTATGTAAGCAGAAGTTTTAATTCTTAGACTTATTTTGAAATTGCAAAACAATCTTATAAAAAAAAAAAAAGAGCAGTTACAGGGTAATACAAAATATACAACTGAGAATTCAATAGAATTTCAAAAACATATTTTTTAATAAAATATATATAAAAGTTTGTTTTATATACTTTTTGTTTATAAAAGTATATAAAATAAACTCTGCAGGTCATATTCAATAAATACATTGATAAAGAAGAGAAAAATGTCCTAAAAATTTATCTGTTGATGCACAATTTTGATCTTTTACCAAAAACAACAAAGAAATCCAGCTACTAAATGTAATTGAATTATTCAATGAACAAAAAATCTAGATAAGAACTGTTTATTCCAAATTATTGATTGGAAAAGTATAATTACTGTAACATACAAAATCTATAATCAGTTATAATATTAGAATTGAAGCATTATTTCTATAACCAATACTAAGTAGTAATGAATGGCTCTCTATTTTCCTGGGGTGTAAGTATATGATACTGAGTTTTTATTTTTTACTTTTTTGTCATGTTAAGGGTCCAGTTACAATTTTCCCTCCAAAGGCAGCAGCTTCTAGTGACGGACTCACTGGATTAGTTTGTTGTGATTTAAAGATTACATTTGAGGAAAGGTTTCCCATGCCCTTATTTAAGTACAAAGGAGAGTCTCTGATCCTGTGTCTGTTTCTTTGCTAAAAGCTTTACCAACCAATCAATGCATTGTATCATTAATTCTACTTATTGGTTCTTTTTAGCTGTGTAATGGTGCAAAATAATCTGGATATGGTCATTTGAGATTTAGGATAACCTTTAGGATCCAATGGACCTGTGCGGTCAGATGAAGAGAAATGAGAAGGAGAGAGGACCGTGAATGTACAGTAAAGAGAGAAGGTGAATGGTTAAAGACCTTGTTTTCTCTCTGCGGTTTAAAAAAAAAGCTCTTATGGAAGGAAACCCGGCAGATTGCATTACATCTTTGGCTTGAAGGGATGAGCATATAGTGACATGGGACAGTAGTGTGTTTTATTTTTGACTTTGCAGCAACCCCTTATACCAAGCATGCTCTTACCGACGTGGGGTTTGCACGGACAGAGCCGGGACAAAACTGAACACAGAGAACCTCAGTTCTAGGAGCGCTTATTATCAAAGAGAAAATTAAACGGTTAGTTGCAATAGATGAACTCTGAGTCAGGTTTTAAGTCTTCATGAAAGAAAGCACTTCCAGTTATTCATGGTAAAAAAAAAAACAGCAAATAGCTTTATAAAGGCAAAAGAGAGTTAACAACTAAAAGACAGAACCGAATGATCATCTAGAGGAGAACATGAAGTCACAGCTGATGCTGGCTTCCAGGATGGTAGTACAGCACCAGGCCAGATGAAGCCACTACTGTATGAAGGGTGATTTCATATCATCTATAGGGAGATGGGTCAAGAATGAGAGAAAAATAGGCATTATTATTGAATTATTTATTTATTTTTTATTCTTTGCCATAAGATTATACTCATGCAGTAAATGTAAATACTGATCTTTAATTGCTGTGCGGACAAATGTTGCTAGACTCAACTTTCAAAGCGATTATACTTTTAGTATGAATTAAGTATTTTCATGAATGATAGTATTGAAGCACCCATGTTTTTTTTTTATCCTATTTACTATTATCCTTGTCTGTTCATCTTGTGTACAGCTTTGCTTTTCAACACTGCTTTTTTACTAATGTAATTTATCTCAGCTCCTTTTTTTCCTCTATATTAGAGAAGTCAATCTTTTGACCTAACCTCATTACTTTTAGAAATGTTCTTCTTGAAAGGGAATGTTTTGTTTCTGTTTCAGTAAAAATATCCTGACTATCATCATTAACTTTTTTTTTCTCCCAATGGTTTGATTTGCTTGTTGGTGTAGCATCCTGAACCTTGATGTGCTGTCAGACAGTATCAGGTCAGAGTTATTGTAGCTATTTCTCTACTGTTATAAATATAGCCCTTTTTCTGTAAAAATATTTAAAAAACATTGTTTAAAGATGTCCCCCCCCCCCCCCCCCCCCCCCCCTCTAAACATTAAGGGACTTATTCCTTCCAGTGTGTGTGTTTGCTTGCCTAGCTGTTAGTATATTCTGCCTTTAAGCTGAAAATCTTCTTTAAAAAAGTGTTTAGGAACAAACATTGGACAATAAGCCAGGGAAAATTGGAGAGCATTGTTGTGGAAAGGCTTGACAGGATTGTCTGTTTTGAAAAGAGCTTTAGACAGGAAATGTTTGGTGACAGAGGCGAGAGTTGACTTAAAATACATTCCCCCAAAATCTTTACTTATTCAGCATTTAAATCAGGTTAACCTTGCAATAAACTTCATATTTTAAGTTTATATAACATAAGATTAGAGAAATGTTTAGGTCAAGTAGGGAGAAACCAAAGGTCTTTGTGATCAGCAGTATAACTGTGAGGAAAAATCAGCAGCCTTGTCTCATCAAATGTCAGGTCAGTCCTGGTAGGGAAGGATTCTATCCATCCTCCCTTTTCTTCTCTCTTTTGTCATTTTGCCTCTCCGCCCCGAACATAACCGTTCAGACACTCTCTCAGAAAATATCAGGTGTTAAAGCATTCTCAGTGGAAATAGAATATAAGCCCAATGGATGTCTCCAAAATGTTTCAGAGACAGTTCTGTTTGATGGTTCGGCATTTGTCATTGGTTTTAATGCCAAGCAGGGCAGCATGTGACTTGGAAAGGCCGAACGCTCCTCCTTTTTGGTTTGCTGTGCGAAGCTTGTTTGGTGCCAGAACTGAGCAGATCACAACAAAGACCCAGTGCATCCCACAGAGGACGCTCTGCTGTCTCTGAGGTGCTGACATTTGCAGCTGACATTTATTATGTCACAAAGAGGAGCACTAATCAGACATACTGACTGACGACAGCACTATACAAATGCATAATTATGCATGACATACATTTACACCATTGGTCTGTTTTACTTGGAATTGAAGACCTATACGATTGAATCAAATACAGTTAATCTAATGTTTATCAGTTGTTTTTTTTTTTTTTTTGGTTGAGGTATGGTAGAATAATTAATGGTTTTGCAGTTGAAAACTGCTGAATACTCTACAGATGAATAAAAAAGTTTTTTTTGGGATGATGGTTTACATTTAAAGTTATTTATGTGATAAGATGACTGAGGTCTAAAAAAAAAAAAAAAAAAAGCGTGCTGACAGTTCAACAAATGCAAGGCCAAAAAAAAAAAAGGACTGGTAGTAAAAAAAAAAAAAAAAAAAGCAGTAATAGAAATATGGGGCTTGAAAATGAGAATACCTCCATTTATGACAAACCTAGATTTTGTTTTTTTGAGTTAGGGAGATGTTGCATAACTTCATCTCATTCTCCGACAGAAAGCTGTGAGGTGAATTCATTCATTTGATACAAATTGATACTTCTGAAGGGACATCAATAAGGTCTGCTGATGCTGATGAGATTTCTTAATCTGAAACTGTGGAATAACGAGTGAATAACTTGCAAATTGCCTTAATCGTTGTGATAAACTCACATCATTTTCATGCTACATACTTTTAAAATAATCACATGCTCTCATTTTTGTGTGAGGGTGTGTGGGTGGGGGGTATGCTTTTCATTAATTTATTTATTTTATTTTGTGTATTATTTATAACTTTCAACAATATTAATAAACATCATCCATCCATTGTAGCAGGGTAACTCAAAGGGACAAATAAAGGCTTCAATAGCTGTCAAAATAACCAAAAGACCACATGTGAGTGTGTAAAAACAACAGCTCTGCAAAACAAAATGGGAACGCAAGTTGGATGGCGATATATACACATCCCTCTACCAGGTTGATTGGACTGGGATACCTGCTGGGTGGGCTGCAGCCAATATTAGGGTCAGGACCTCTTGAGAAAAAAACAGGACTAGTTTGATGTTGACAGACATGTTGGGGTTGGAGGTCACAACCCTAAAGTAGAAATCATTCTGACACTTTGGTACAGCTGCATTCCTCTGCAGTTATTGGAGAAATACCCAGAGAAATAAATGGAGCTGGAGTCTGGGATCAGGTGTTTAGAGCTAGACTTTGACTAAAAATCATTCATCATGTTTTCACTTGTTACCATGACATTTTCAGCAGCTGCTGGATTAATTGGGGTTGTTAGATGTTTAAAATTATAAGAGAGAGGGGGGGGGGGGGGGGGGGGGGGGGGGGGGGGCGTTCTAACAT